TTTCTGAGTTCCTTGGCATCTGAGCATGAATATAAACTCGTCAGATAGACAGCCTTCCTCTCCCACTAGAGCCTCCATACTCTGTCATCCCTGTCACTGTCCACTGTGCTGTCAGCACCCCCATCCATTCCCCCCTATCTGCCCTTCTGGTAAATCTAGTCAGCCAGAGGTCCCTGTTCCAGGGAAGCCAATCTTGTGGGACCTTGAAGGAGCCCGGAAAGGGAGGGAGTCAGGAAGCAGTCTGAAGAAACCACATTCTGAGAGAAAAGCAAGTGCAATGAGAGGAAGGGGTATGGGGCGGGGGACACGCCAGTTCCACAGTCACCTCGCCCGGTTCAGGCAGTCCATCTAGTTACAGCTCATCACCACCAAGTCCTTTGACCCTGCCTGTCTCTATGTTGTCCCTTTCCTTGGGGTTCTGTGGGGTTCTGAGGTAATGGGGGCTCAGAGAGGCGCCTGACTCTCCTTAACAGAGAGTCCTTCAACTCTGCCCTCAACCTCTGCTCCAAGTCCCCAGCATCCCTCTGCCATGGCTCATTCCCATCAGCATGCAAACTGGACTCCAGTTCCTCCCACCTTGAACCAAAAGCAAGCAACAGCTCTGTCTAGGCCTATGTTCTCCTCTAATCTGCATTTCATCAGAATTTACCAGAAGTGACAGCAATAAAAGTGTATTATGTTTTTCAATGGCTTTGCTTTTTAGAGCAGTTGGGTTTACAGCACAGTTCCCATGTGCTCTCTTCCTCCCTGTGCAAAGCTTCCTTTGTCCATATCCCAGCCAACAGTGGGCATTTGTTATGACTGATGAGCCTGCACTGTCCCCAGAGTCCATGGTTCACACTTGGTATTGGCCATTCCACAGATTTGGTAAATGCAAAGTAACGTGTATCTGCCACAACAGAATCATAGAAAGTAGTTTTGCTGACCCCCAAATCAGAAACGTTTTTCCTTCCAATAAACAAATCCTTCTCCAAATTGCTGGGCCCCCCATGCTGCTACCCACTGTGCCTTCGGCAGCATTTCCTGCCCCACTGGTGCCAAACAGCAAGCCCTGCAAGTGTTCTACTAGAACCCAGAGGGCTAGAGAAAGCTCCTGTAGAGGCATCACTGTCTTTCAGAACAAGGCACTCAGGGGTCCTCCTATCTCTCTGCCTGTTTAGTCTCCACTACAGACTTTTCCTCCTCAGTCCATCCCCTCAGTGTCCCCAAGGCCATGTCCCAGCACCTCCTCTTCTCTTGGCAATCTCTTTGGCAGGTTCACCTATGCCAGTGGCTTGTACTGCCATCACATTCAATGACCTCTAAGCCATCATCATTCTGTAGTCTAGGCCTTTATCCAGTAGCCTGACTGAACATCCCCAGTTGGGTATCACAGCAATGGTTAAACTGAGCATATCGGCTTGATGTGGGACACACTGAGTTGAAGGAACCTAGCTGCAGATTGAACAGATATTAGATAAGAAGGGGGAAGGGCCAGGCGTATAGATGGAAAGGAAAGAAGGAAGCTGCAGGGACATGCATGGGCCAGCACAGGCATAGCCCGGACAGTGGCAGGAAGCATTCTGTCCATTCAAAGGCAATGAATGGGAAACAATGAAGGTGGCAAGCAGACAGAGGAGGAGGCCAGAGCAGATGTACTTTTAGACAAGCCCAATATGACAGAACACACAAAGGAGGAAAAACTCATTTAGCCTCAACACAGGCCTTAGGTCCAGTCCAGTCTCCTTAGGCATGCGTAGTCATGTCCAGGGACTCCTGAGAGTCTTCTACACTCACTGGTATCTGCCCAGGAGTCAGTGGGACCAGGCCTGCGTCTCCAGACAGTGCCAATGTGAGCAGCTGAGGTAGAACAGGGGAGGAGAGTCAGGACAAACAAAGGCTGAAAAGTTAGGATGTGAAAAGAGCAAGCCAGCAAAGAAGAAAGGCTGGAAGTGACTCCCAGCCTAAAGCTGACACAGGCACAGGTGCTCCAGAGTATGTGAAGGTGGCCTGTGGCTCATAATATTAATATGAAAACACACACCTCTGGGTGGAGACTGAAGATGCAGATAAGACAGGTGACACATGCAATTGTATGTAGACCCATATGCAACAGATCATGCTCAAAAAAGCTGACACTGCAAATGAGCTAAAAAGTCCCACACTACAAAAAAAAGGCATAAAAACCCCTAAAATCTTTTAAGGATTAGATAAAAGCTCCCAAATACTTTTGACACTTTTGGCCTTGGGAATGGAGCATGTTGCTAAGGGGCCCAAGGACATTTTGACTTTTAGCCAAGAAACTGGCAACTTTTCTTTGGGGTCTTTTTACCCTAACTGCCTATCCAATTCCTACCTCCTAATCTTATCACACCATCCTCTAAAGAGGTTACTCAACTTGTGGATAGGGAATCAGGACACAAACTGCTCTGGCTTCTTCCATGCTGAACAGGGATGCAGGATGAGGCAATTGGGGTACCCCTTCAGTGGGTCTATCTAAAAGACTCCCAAATTGCATGACTCTTATCTCTAAGGGGAAAAGAAAGTCCTTGACTGGTGAATAGGAGATGTGAGGGAGAAGTAAAGGCAAGAGTGGCTAGCAGTACAAGTTCTAGACGGGGAACTAGAACCCCATCCTTCTTGTACCTCCACCCTTTGAGGTACCAAACTTCCTCTTTGCCCCACTTCCTCCACTGGGGTGTATTTTAATACACTTACTACCTTAACTTCTGCTGCAGAAGACTACAAGGAAGGCAGATGAAGGGCTCGGCAAGGGCTTAGCAGACCACAGACAGTAAACTGAGCCCTCCACCTCACAGGGAGCAAATCCTTCCTGTCAACACACTTTCCATGTCTATTTAGGGAAGGGTTAGGGAACTGGAAGTCCCAGAATGCCATCACTCCAGCAAGACAGAGGAGGTTTAAATCTGCTGTCACTTGAGGGCTCAGAATTTTTCTAAAGGACTAGTTGTTTGATAACTGAAGTCACTAAGGTCCTGAGCCTTGGGCTATTCTCCTGAGATGGATGCTTTCCATTCATCCTTTCCCAGGCATGGTCACCCACCACTGAGGCAGCCTATGCTGTCTGCCCCACACTCCTGAGCCCTACCCCCATCATAGGAAGCCAAACCCTCCAGATGACCTCAAACTTGGCCTTTTGTGAGGAAAAAAAACAGGAAAAAAAAAGGTGTTGCCTGTGCCTTCGAAAGTGGGCTCTGCCTATGGAGGTGTGGTAGAGTCCATACTGGTTTATTTGCTAACAACACTGTTCATAATACCTGCTCTTGCAGGTGGCACACAGCAATGCAGACTTTAGAAACTCCTCATGTATCATCAAACTCCTTCTTCAGTTGGAGAAACTGAGGCTAAGCAAGGTTAGGAAACAGCCACATGGCAGAGTGTGGCTTCCCAGGCCTCTCAACTCCTTGAGGTAGGTGGAGGGAGAGGAGACTGCTCCTGGTCCAGCACAATAGAACCATGATGCAACCCCAGAGAAGGATGTCCAAGGATGGCAGCAGATGGGAAAGAATAACACAGAGGAAGGGCAGGCTGGAAGACTGGAGGGGAGAGACCCTTAGCATAGCACTGGGCCTCTGTGGGCAGAGAAAGAATGTGACCAGGGGCCACATAGGCAGGAGTTGGGGTAAGTGAGAAGCTGACAGGCTGGAAGAATCAGCAAACAAGAGCTGAGAGAAACAGATCCCCCAGGTAGCAATTCAACACATAGGGACACAATGGGTCAGAAAACCAGAGGGAGTTTCTAAGCAACTACTGGGCAGAATAACTTTTTTGTGTGAATAGCTTGCCAGGAGATGCAGAGAAACTGGCAGGTTAGAAGAGGGCATGTGTATGTGATACCACATGTGTGGTGTGTGATTATACATGTGAAGGAAACCATGTGCTTCATAACTAGAACCACATGGGTGGCATGTGGTATGCATGTATAAATGTGTATATGTGTTTCTGTGTGAACAAGACTTCTACAAAGAGCTCCAAGGCTCCAAGCAGAAAGGGTCAGGTCCTATGTTCTACTTGTCAACACAGCTTACCTCCTGCCTAATGAAAGCAATTTTGGAAACATGTCAGAAGCATGGTTGACATTTTCCCCCAGGAGACCTAGCTCCCTGATGGCCTGACCAAATGCATGCCCCAATAGCCCCAGAAAGATCCAGAACTTTGTGCTTCCTATCTTTCCCCAGCCTTGCTTCAGTAACAAGCTGACATTCTCAGACTGTCTGTATTTGTCTTTTCCCATTTCAACTCTTCCTGGGATGACTTTCAAGAAATCATTTTCACCCCAAGTGTCAGATTCAAGCTGTCTTCAGCACCCATTCAGTGCCTGAAGTGAGACTTTGGAACTTCTGAGAAGCAACAGAGGCTATAGCAGGCCCAGCTACTGAATGGGGTCCTAAGCCCCAGTACCATTCTAAGACAGTTTCAGTCGGTTTTCTTCTGTGAGTGAACTAGGAACCTTCATCCCAGTCCTGTAGAGCCGCCAGCAAGCCTAGTGACTTACAGCCCCAGCCACCCTTTATATATTTGTAAAATGAGCCTGTTTCGCAGGAGTCCCACATGATAGCTGTTGCCATCATTTTGAAGAAACTGTGACTTTCAGATTCACAATGCCCATCTGTATCAAGAAGTGTCTACACATTCAGTTTTGAAGACATCTACTTAAAATGGCCCACCTAACATTTATCAACCTCCTTTGACCCTACATCTCTTTTTAACACAACATCTGACCGCATTTCCCAAAGTCAGAGATCAGGGATGTTGCTGAACCAGCTGACTTCTGAGGTCCCCTCCAGTTCAAGGCTATGACACGATGTCTGTCTGAACTCTGCTTCCTGGCTGAGTAGGACAGGGTATCAGAGAGATTTAGATTTCCCAGGGCAGCAGTCTCCACTGGAGTACTAGAAGTCTGTTATAATTCTTACTTATTGTTAGCTTTTTGTGGAAAATAAGGACACAGTTAAGTCTAATTTGGTATGAATATTTATAACACATGTAAATGCACAAATACTGGAGGTACCATTTCCAGAAAATGTTACCAGTAGCAGCACATAAGAAATCTTTGGGAGACCACTGACCTAGAAAATGTGCCTCAAAATAATAAGGCTTAATGATAAAGTACTTGTACTTGTCTAGCATGCTCAAGGCCTTGGGTTCAATCATCAGCACTACAAACAAATAAACCAACACAAACTGTCTTAGTTTATATAAAAGCACTAGCTCTCCCAGTGTTGGGAAGAAGGCATGGATGTACTATCTCACACATGGGTTTCTATCGTAGCTCTGGTTCATTTCTTCCTCATGCCTAACAGCCCTTGTGCCTGCCTCAGCCTGTAGAATCAAGCTTTGTACCACTGTCCAAAACAGATTTACTAAGGAGAGGAGATTATTAATATAACAATTTTTCAATGAAAATTCTGAACCTGGCCAGTATTTCTTAGAAATATCTGTACTAGGGGCTGGAAAGATGGCTCAGTGGTTAAGAACACTGGCTGTTCTTGCAGAAGTCCCGGGTTTGAATCCCAGCACCCACATGGTAGCTAACAACTGTCTGTAACTCCAGTCCCACGGGATCCGACAGCCTCTTCTGACCTCCGCAGGCGTTGCACAACACGGATGCACTTACCTACATGCAGGCAATACACGTATACACATAAAATAAAAATAATAAATAAAATTTTAAAAAAGAAATGCCTGTACTACACCCATGTAGTGACATTTACTTTGCCCTCATATGTCTTTCTGACAAATAAACATTTTTTCTAGAATTCAAAAGAGTGAAATAAAACCCAACAATATTATAAAGTTCTTCCCTATTAAATAATTTAAAGAAAACAACTTTCAATTGCATTTTGTGTTAATTTTTGCCGTGCTAGGGATCCAACTCAGGCCCTCACACATGCCAGAAAAGCACCCTTCACTGAACTGTACTTCAGCCTTCTGTTTTGTTAATAGTTCAGATTAAGTTCTTATATTGTTTCCCCCACAGTACTTGAAGGAAATCCTCTAGCTGACCTTTGTGTTCCTGCAGAATGAAATTCTGAGAAATCAAGCAGCACAATCAGGAAATGGAGAGATTTTTGCCCTCTGAGACTCCAGCCATCTGCCAAAATGTTCTAGCTATACACAGGCATCAGAATCCATCAACCTAGCAGAGCTCTGTGCTCAGTGCTCCAGGCAGAATCTTGGGAGGGTGGAGGTCCCTCTGGCTAGGGCTGGGAAAACTATTCTAATAGGACACTTGAGGAGGTCCAGCCCTCTTCCTGGGGCGATCCTCCTGAAGTGACTTCCCTCCTTCCTCTCCCAGCAACACCTACCTTGGCTTGGGCACTTCCAATTGGCCTGTCCATCTCTTCCTCCTGGACTTTCTGCTCCCCACAAGAGCCATAAAGCAAAACAAGAACAAAATGAGTTTCACAAGATAAGGCATTCTGTGAATGTCTATGATGCAGCAGGCAGCTGTGCGGGGTCTTCAGTGGGGCAGATGCCCCCTGGCTTGACAATGGATTTTGTCTCCAGCCTCTGGCAGGTGCTACTCCAAGGGGCTGTAAGGGCCTGGCTGGCAAAGTTGATTTTCCAAACCTACTATTTGATACTGATGCCAACCCCACTCCTACCTCCCACTGACCTGGCCATGACACAAATACCAGGCTGTGTCCTCTCACCGCTTAGAGACTGGCCACTAATCAAGAACTTTGTCCTCCTGGGAAACTGCTTCCTCTGAACCCTAGGACAGCTTTGGCTAAAACGGTTACGTAAAAAAATTAAATCTCTTGAATATGCCAGCTTTTTTGCTGAGATCATTAATCCATCTCTCTGGCTGCATAAAACCAGTCTGTCACATCAGCAGCAAGTCAGCTTGGATTCTGAGTAGATTTGCGTGTGCTTGGGAAATGCTAAGGGAACACATTAATGGCTGGTTCTAGAGGTTTCTTTGTCACATTGATCTGAGAATATGTTTTGCCTATGGCCAGGATACCTGCTTTTCCCCAAAATATGCACCTTTTCTTTTCTTTTTTTTTTCCAGCAGAAACATACATGTTGATTGTGAAAGATAGGAAAAAATTCATTATTATGTAAGCTTTTCTGTATCCTGAATACTAAATTAACTTTGGTCTTTGACCCTGAAATGTATAAAGTCAAACACCACAGATTAGGCTAGATTTTTATTCTTTGATATGGGCTTGTGCACATTAGAAGTATAAAACTACAAAAGATTATGTTTAACCTGCTACAAAATACAGTATGCTTAAAAATTACTTAAGGCTGGCAATGGAGAATCTGGTGTAGGAGAAACAGGGATCTGAGGATGGTGGTCAGATGGAGGAAAAAGCCAGAAGGGAAACAAAATTGGGGTTTTATTATGTGGGGAAGAAAGAATCAGAGCGAGTAAAATGGAATGATACAATCCACTTCATTTTTTAAGGAGTCCTTAAATGGAATCAGTTGAGTCAGGAAATTATAATAACCAGAGGATGATATAAGAACACAGTATTGGAATCCTGACCAAACTGCTGCTCAGGCCAAAGTCCTTGCAGCAGCCCTTTGCCTCTCACAAATGCTGACAGGCACCTACTGAGAATGGTAAAGAGTCTGAGGTCTTAGCAAATGACCACACAATCCGAAGTATTTCAGCAAAGCAGAAAGTTGAACTTCTGCAGAAGGATGCATGGCTGTGAAAATTCAGGCAGGCAAACTCATTCCCACTGGATTTTTATTCCTAACGCCAGCGTCCTGTGTCTCACTCTGATGAGTGACAGCTTGTCCTTATATTTATGTGATTGGCTAATACAGAGCAGTTTCCTAGGAAAAATGAAACCTAAATGAATATTTTGTTAAATTTTTTTGTTAAATTTTTTTGATCTATTTATTTTATGTGTATAAGTGTTTTTGCCTGCATGTATGTTAGGTGTACCATGTACATACAATGCCTGGGAGGTCAGAAGAGGGCATCAGATCCCACTGATGGTTCTTAGCCACCATGTGAGTACTGGGAACCAGATTCAGGTCTTCTGGAAGAACAACAGTGCTTTTAACTGCTGAGCCATCTCTCGAACCCCATCTTGTTTGTTTTTTAATTTTTGAGACAGGATCTCAACAGGTAACTCTGGCTGACCTCGAATTCACAGAGATCCATCTGCTTCTGCCTCCAGAGTGCTGTGATAAAGGCATGTGTCACCACACCCAGCTCTAAAGGATTACTTTGGTTTCAGGAACTGCTTACTCAGGAGGGACTTTTACCAAAATGCGTTTTCTCAAAAGAGAATTCCCCCAGTCTTATTTAACCATTCAGTAGAAAAGAGTATATCTTGTTCATATTTCTCACTAGAACATTGTCTAGTGAATCTCTAGCTAACAGGTGCCTAGGTTAGGTATCAGGGTTTTTCACCTGGGGAAGTGAGTTTACATCAAAGGGAGTGTTGGTGCCTGGAAGCAGAGCCTTACCGCGCCAGCACGTCAAGCTCCGAGTATTCTGGGCAGAGGGTGTCAGGATTGAACAAACTATCACACCATCATGGAGCGGGAGGAAGGATTTCGACTGCCCTTTATTGTTTGAGACAAGGGTTTTTATACTTTTCAGTATAGGAGGTGGAGTCAGGACACATGATAATTGGGATCACCTGACTGTAAGGCTAGTTTTTGGGTCAGGTGCACCTTTTCTCAGAATTGCTGCATCTCACCCTTTTTTATTTTTTCTAAGGAAGGTAACTCTGTCTTAGGTCGTTCTGGAGGGGTCACCCTTACCCGTCACTGGGAGACCTCTTCCCTGTCTTAGGCGGGAGCCCTCTCACAGAAAGTTGCCCGTCATTGAGAATACCTTCATCTTTTGTGTAGCATCTGAAGCCACACTTGTGGGACATCTGTATGGTTGTGTGATAAACTTAAAAGGACTTGTTGGGTAATAGTTTGTCGGGACTGAATTCCTCTGAGCTTTCTACACAAGACCCAAAACACAAAGATCATAATGAGTATGAAATTGACAGTCAGTGATAAGGAGCCTGCCCACCTCTGTATCCATCCTCCAATTCCTACCATGGTCCTTCTGCTGATATGGCAGGGACCCTGATTTCATTAATAGATACAATTTGCCAAGTAAGAACCTTAGTAAAATTTGCAAAGGTCACATTCCATGGTCCCTTAAGAAAGACATTCAATTGTTTTACAGTATTGGAGGCATTTTGTACATGGTAATGGGTAACACAAATATGATGAAAGAAATGAGAACATGTTAGCTGTTACATAGCCCAAAGGGCATCAACTTGTTCTTGTAACAAGGCAGTTTGTTGATTTGAGTTCATTAGTCCAAATTATATGTGTGCATTGATTGAGTTCTGAGTTTGCAGGGCTTCACTGACCTTTCCTGACAAGGTATCAACTTTGGAAGCTGCAACCGCAGTCTGAGATAGGCGATGCCAGCAGTGACGGCAGCAGTAGAAGCGATGACTATGCTAGTGCTGCTGTTATTCCAAAATCTCTTTTGCTTCTGTACAATGTCAGTTCTACTCGATCTTCTGATACATTCACAGACATAGGAAGAAGTGTAGGGATCCTCACAACCAGCGCAGAAGTGAAAGAGGAATTCCAGCAGCTACTCGGGACACAATTACTGTAAGAACAATTAAGAACCTCTTCCAAAGTTGTGTTAGCAGCTATATTTCATAATGCAAAGGAAAAAGGGGGAGAGGACTAGAACCTTACTGAAGTATCAGAAGGGGTAGCATCAAGGCATGTAAAAGAACCACAATAATAGATTCTAGCAAACACAAGTGTAACAAATTGGTTAGGTTCCCTATAAAAATAATTACACTTATTGTTAGTAGAGTTTTTAAAGCAAGGTTTTAGCCCAAACCATCGCATTTTCGTTGTGTTATTGTCTCTTATGAGAAGTTCTCCAACATTAAAGATACAGTCTCCCCACAATAGCACCTTAGGTAGATTATAGTTTGTATTGCTTGGTCAGCAGCGAGAAGCAGGGAGTATACCATCTCTGGTTAAATTTTGAACTCTATTATGGCGTATAGGGTATAAAATATCTTTTAGACCTATAAAAGGTCCTGATTCATTATAAAATCTCCAATGCTGGC